GATTTGAAAGGTTACAAATCATCACATATAATAATATCAAAATTCAACTAGCCAACCTCTATAACAAAATTGTTATTTCTATAGGCCTAGTTTTAAAGAAAGTTTTGACATTTTTTTACTTTTTCATGGATAAAACATTCAACGGTTTAAAGTATTTTTAGCTGCGACGAGGAGCTCAGGCGCGAGTACCCTGCTGATTGATTAATTAATATTTTCTGTATGGGCGGCCATTAGGGCCACTAGAATCAGTCTACTGGTTGATTAATTGCTGCTTTATGTATAGGGGGACGTCAGGGTTACTAGAATCTCATAGGAGCTTGTTTCACAATACATCATCTTATTTCTAGTGCCATAAGTGTCGATTCAAAAGTTTACAATAGGTAGTTTTCGCCGCACGACGTTAACCTTAACTTTAACGTTAGTACCCAACATGCAACGCGATAACTCTGCCCTTTTGCAAACAAATTAAAATACGCATCCGCAAACCCTTAACTAACATACGTCGAGCATATAAAATCCTGAAATTAACGTACTCTGCATCATATGATGAATACATTATGACGTCATCAGTTAACGTTAAAGTTAACGTCGTGCGGCGCAACCTACCTATAGCTGATTAAAAGTTTTATTTTGGAAGCGTGTGGAGCAGCGTGAAAGACCGAGATATTTTAATCGGGAGGTCGGAGGTTCAAGACCGACGCTCGTCACACTGCTTGCGTATTTGGGCAAGACACTTTATCTGCTTTTGTCTCTTTTCACCTAGGAGTATAAATGGGTACTTGGTAGGCCTAGGAGGTGAATGGTTCAGAATAAAATAATAGTGCTAATTATACTCTAGAAATACTCCCCAGAGAGTGGAGGAGGTTGCACAGTGTGTATGATCGATTCTGTATCCAATTACTAAAGGCAACAAGCTCTGTGATACTCCAGTAAAGAGCACTATATAAAAGTTAAAATTAATTAATTAATAATGAATTAATTTATTTAATCATAATATTTTTAAATTGTGTTAAATGAAGTGAAAATGCATAAGAGAAGAGGAAAAATTATTTGGGAATTCAGGAGAGATTTTTTTATTTATTTTTTTATTTTTTATTTTTTTTGATCCTGAGAACGAAATAAGCAATTTCATTCCTGATTGTCAAAATTAGCCTACGTAATTCCGATAAACTTATATTAAAACATAGCGTGAATATGGGTCATACTAGGGAGCTGTCGATTTGTGCAACGACTCGACGCTAGAACGGAATCATTAATGCGTGACCGTCCAACCGGTAATCCTACGTACTCTGCATACGTAGATTTGGCTAAATTGCGTCCTAGAATCCACGCGACGAGGAGAACTTAACGTTCTCGCATGCGCAGATGACTTAGTGACATTACGTTCTACGTGTTTACAGTTGTTGTGCAATCTAAAGCTTCCTAATTTTACATGTAAACTTCTGTGCTTCTGGGACATGCGCGTATTTCTGACCTTCATTCAGATTGGTCATTTAATTGTTTGAACATTTCCATTATATGTTTTATTTAATCATAATATTTTTAAATTGTGTTAAATGAAGTGAAAATGCATAAGAGAAGTAGAAAGATTATTTGGCTTTTATTATGAATTCAGGAGAGATTTTTTTTATTTATTTTTTATTTTTTTGATCCGGAGAACGAAATAATCAATTTCATTTCTGATTGTCAAAATTAGCCTACGTAATTCCGATACACTTATATTAAAACATAGCGTGAATATGGGTCATACTAGGGAGCTGTCGATTTGTGCAACGACTCGACGCTAGAACGGAATCATTAATGCGTGACCGTCCAACCGGTAATCCTACGTACTCTGCATACGTAGATTTGGCTAAATTGCGTCCTAGAATCCACGTGACGAGAAGAACTTTTTTGCATGGGCAGATGACTTTATTGACGTCATTACGTTCTACGTCCTACCGTCTTCGTGCAATCGAAAGCTCTCTTCTGTGTACATAGAACCAACTGCTTAACGTCTTGCATAAGAATGGAATGGTACGTAACTTGCATTTCAGACCTCAGGCTGAAACACTAAAAGAGCAGCAGCAATGGTATTGAACCTGAAACTAGATGTCTGAAAGGAGTTCATTGGGTACAATTTAGCTGACCGAGGTGCTATTCTTTAGTAGGTTTAAAGCCGAGCACTCACTGCGCCCGACGGCAATGTAAAGCCGGTTTGTCACTAGGCGAATTTATTCGCGCTAATCGAAAACGTCGGTTCATGCGCATGCGCGTTCACATTTCTATCAGAGTTTTTGCGAAGCGAAAAAAAATGCGCAACTTATCAGAGCTCAGGAAGAGAACCGACGCTTTGATTCGCGCGAATAAATTCGCTTAGTGGAAAACCAGTTTTACGACGCCGCGCAAGGGATCGTATTTTTTTTTTATAAACTGACTGCCACCGACAATCAGCAGACAGCGTTGTGCCGTCTGGTGCTTACAGGAAGTGGAGTTCCGTCGGCTGAAGGTCGTACGACGCTGCCAGTGAGTGCCCGGCATTAGTGATAACACTCTGTAAATAATGTACGAATACTGTAAACTATCAGTATGATTTATTGTATTGCTATCATCAAAGAGATAGATATTAATGTATACGGCTAAAGTTGAAATTATTAAGTACGTTATAATAGAAGATAATTTAAGCCTTGATGGGGATAACTGATTAAAGTCTTTTTTTATCAAAATAATTTGAAGGCTACATAACACTGCAGAAGTATCAGTTTCAATAAGAATGATTGTGTATTGATTAAAGCTTGAGAGTTCATACCGATGGATATAAGGTATTTTAGGCATTTCGACCACCACTCTATCTCTGTCGGTGCTTTTTTTTCTTATTAAGATTAATATCTTTTTATATGATACTGTATTGGTAATAACAGAATATGTATGTCTCATGGAAGTGAGAGAAAATTACACATTTTAAATACAAACTGAATGAAATTTGTGAATTTTGAGTACTAAAATTATCAACAAGATATGATGATGATATACTGTCCGTGCCCCTAATTGATCATAGTAAACCTTATCATTATTAACAACAATGGTACACTTTTGTATTTGAATAATAATTATTATAAGATCGAATTTATATATTTATCGAATGTTTTCCTCTTACCAAGGCATTTACAGTTCGAAACGATTGTTCATAATTTTAACCTGAGACATTTATATATAGTTGTTATATATAGTAACTATTATATATTATGTAGTTGCCTCAGTTATAACGAGAAAATACTGATTCTGAGTCCGTTTGACCTTACAGACGATAGCAAATACTGTATAAGAACACATAGCCAAACAATAATAATTTTAAATCACTGTTTTTCTTAATACTTTTTTTATTTATTAAGGCAATTACTCGATATGTACAAGTTAAATTTCTGGAATGAGGACTGTCACCTTTACCCTTCAAATCTGCAATTATCCTATAAAGCACGGAATGCGTCCAAACACAAAGCCTTATTGGTTCACCATTGTCACCATTAGGCTTATAGGCTGTCTCTTATACACATCTAGATGTGTATAAGAGACAGCTTTAGCAAAGATTTATTGACTTTGCAAAAATGCAATAGAATATTGTAGGAATACCTCACAGTTTGGTTTTCAATATTCGGCAATTAGCATACGACATTATAAATCTGGCTGAGCTGCATTATCAAACAAATAACTAACTTTACTTTTCGTAAACTTCCAGAGAGATGGTTGCTTGATCCAGTTGCATTCTTATGTAAAGAAATGAGCCAAAGTAAATTTGTGTGAAAATGTGTCTGATAAAACTTTTAACCGAACATAGTTGCTTATTTTGTCTGAATAAATAATAACTGTCAGCATCAATACCATCTCTCTATATACACCTTTATAATAATTGAATACTAGTTGTAGTTCATGTTCATACGGAAGAAACGGTCATTGTTGGGTCAACGTGATATGACACTACGTTTCCTTTTCTGGTAATTAGTGTCAATTATTGCCATACAATATTTCAGAAAAAAAAATAGAGGATACAATAAAAACCTCCCTTCAGAAACAAAAACTAAAATGTACCAAACAGACCTTTAAATAATATACCTACTTATACTAATTTCATATCACAACCATGTTTGTGTTACCCGTTATACAATTTTTCCAATTGGTCAAAGCTAAAATAAACGCAATTATTGCGTAACCTCCAACAATCGTCATAAATTAAGTTCTATACTTATCATTGTTGCGATATTTATTGACTTTGCAAAAACGCAATAGAATATTGTAGGAATACCTCACAATTTGGTTTTCAATATTCGGCAATTAGCATACGACATTATAAATCTGGCTGAGCTGCATTATCAAACAAATAACTAACTTTACTTTTCGTAAACTTCCAGAGAGATGGTTGCTTGATCCAGTTGCATTCTTATGTAAAGAAATGAGCCAAAGTAAATTTGTGTGAAAATGTGTTTGATAAAACTTTTAACCGAACATAGTTGCTTATTTTGTCTGAATAAATAATAACTGTCAGCATCAATACCATCTCTCTTTGTATTGTACTATGCAATATAAAATATTTTAAGAACTAATATTATCCTGACAGAAATATAAATCCAAGGGTTTGAACCCATGAATTGAAGGTTTAGTCCGAGCCAAAACCATCTCTTTTTGGAAGGAAGGTTGCAACAATAAACAGGTAACTCCACATCATGGATGAGCGTAAACATGCGCTTGTATATTAAAAATTAAGCGAAACATAATCTAAGGTCACAGGCCTGAGTGCACACCTTTTTAGGAGTTTGTGACAAACTGTGCAATGCAGTGGGTTTCCGTTCCTTTTTATTTCAACCATCTTTAAAGAGGGTAACCCTTCCAGTTTAGCCCAGTAGGTTAACTGATATTCAGGGGCCCTCTTTAATAAAATTAAAGAACAGTACAAACAACATCTTTACAACATAATAATAATAATAATAATAATAATAATAATAATAATAATAATAATAATAATAATAATAACATTAATAATAATAATAATAATAATAATAATAATAATAATAATAATAATAATAATAATAATAATAATAATAATAATAATAATAATAATAATAATGATAATAATAATAACATACGATCCGCAATAACATCCCGCACGAAACTGTTTTACCTTCCCATCATATACCAGCGCCCATTTGTAGGCTTACTCCTGGGTAGATAATACAAATCTCGATTAAGTGTCTGGCCAAAACACTACGCAAGCAACTTACAAAGCGAGGGTTTCAAACACCGACTGCAAGTTTGAGAGTCCGACTACAACGGTATAATGTACTTTGCAGATACATCCTCATTATTATTTTAACATTTGTATTACAAAATAAGCTATAATAAAGCGGTTTTAGAAATTTTATACATGACACCAAAGTATATTTATATAACTTCATATATTGCTTTCTTGTTTACGTGTATTATATCTTTCATAGCGTTTAGTAAAATATGAAGTCACATGCGGGCAGTAAGCGAATTACTTAATTTAAAGCTAAAAAAATGTGTATAGCCGGGCACATTATTGCGCTCACGATCGTGGGGACATCAACACAGCAAGGTGAGCGGAATTATTTTGATGTCGGCTACACCGGACAAACAGGAGACGTCGTCGCGGCGCCAAGCGTTCAAATGTGCCCGGCTTAAGAATACCCTGATCAATCCTTATTTCCTCATTACTATTTAAACTATATCTGCTTATTTATTTAAGTTACGTAAAATTTTATCACGCGTTGTGTCATTCAACTCTGAGTTCTACAATCCAATAATCCTTTCCAAACGAATTCCTAGTTTCACAGTAGTATCTACCTGCATCGTTGTACCTTAATTTCTTTAGCAAAAGTGTTTTTCCCGGAATAAAATTGATATCCTGGCCACGTGACTGTATCGGGGCGCCCTCTCTACCCCATCCAACATGGAAGAACGGGTCGCCTTTTATTTGATCTGTTTCACACTCCAGTTGAGCACGATTTCCAAACAGGTACGTAAAGACACTACCCCACTTCTTAGTGGACTCCATGTATCCTTGCCTAGTCTCAGCTGATGATATTTTTTTAATTGATATGAGACCTACAATAAATTTTTAATACAATCAAACATTATTTTAATCCATCAAAAACATACATACAATAAGAAATAAGAAGAAAAGAAGGAGAAGAAGAAGAAACAAGAAGTAGATGAGGAAACAAGGAAAAAAGGAGAGAAAGAAGAATTAATATGAGACCTACAATACATTAAGTAGAAGGAATAAGAAGAAGAGGAAACAAGAAGAATAAACGGAAAGAAGATAAAGAAGAAGAAACAGGAAGAAGAAGAAGAAGAAGAAGAAGAAACAAGAAGAAGAAAAAGAGGAAGAAAAAGAATTAACGGGAAGAAGAAGCAGAAACAAGAAGAAGAAGAAGAAGAAGAAGAAGAAGAAGAAGAAGAGGAAATAAGAAGAAACAGGAGGAGGAAGAAGAAGAAGACAAAAAAAGAAGTAAAAGAAGCAGAAGAAAAAGAAGAAGAAGAAGAATAAAAGGAGAAGAAGGCAAAGAAGAAAAAGAGGAAAAAGAAGAAGAAAAGAAGAAACAAGAAGAGAATGAAGAATATGGCGAAGAAGAAATAGCAAGAAGACGAAGAAGAGAAAACAAGAAGATTAAAGAGGAAGAAGAAGAGAAAGAAAAGAAACAGGAGGAAGAAGAAACAATAAGATGAATCATCAACATCATCATCATCATCATTCTCACACCATGACCATCCTCATCATCCTCATCATCGTTTATTCTTTCTCTTATTTTTTTTTCTATTTCTCACCTGTTTTGTTGACGATAAGATATGATATTAAATCAATTGAATCCAGTAAATTGAAGAAGCATTTATACGTCGACGTATCATTCACTGTTACATTGTATATAATAAGGTCATAAATTCCATTCTGCGTATCGAATTTTGGTTCCATTCGTGTAAATTTATCAAGTTTTTTGCCATCACCTGATATTCTTTCGCCTTCACTTCCTGTGAAAAATAAAGTAATAGTAGAGAGCAGACTTTCTTGAGTGTTCAACGTAACAACTAAGCAATCAGTACATCGCTAAGAATTATGTCCCATAGATGCACATATTTACGTACGTTTACGTTTTTTGCTAGGAACTTCAGAACAATTTCCAACGGCCAGGGAAAGATCCAATCTAACATTTAGACAGACATTTACTCAGGAGGTAGTATTGATAAACGTTACGTTTGTATTTGTGGTCATTACAAAATACATCATAATACAAGGCATACCATTTTTAACGTTAAAAAATGATTCTGCACAAGTGAAGAAATCTTTGTCTAAAACTGAAGTTTACGCTAGGCCTTCTACCGTCTGTATGCAGACGTCCTATCCAAGTGGGTCACAGGGGCTTTACTGGAAATTCGAATAGGATTGAACGCAAAGTTTGGCTCCACACTCGTTTCGACTTGCTAGGAACAGAGCTGCTAATAACAGACACCACATAAATACTATTAAATAATCATTATTGTATCATGGATGAGATTCAATATGTCTGTGTTCATTTCACTTCAATTTTGATTACCATTTATGTGATTAGAATTTCTCATCTGACAAAATAAGAAAAAGTTATGGCGCCACCAGCAATATATAGCATGTATTCGAAACACGTCACTTTACATGGTGTGTTCAGTTATCTTTGTTGATATGATACGATCTATAGGTTAGTAGGATCCTTTACTAAAGTAATAAACTAACAACTAATTACCAAGAAGGTAATTGATGTGACAAAACTACCAATAGATAATGAGGAGTTAAAGGAAACAGACCAACAGTCTTCAACAAACCAGTTTTCAAATTTTGAACATGATTCAGGCCTGTAGGCAGGCGAGTTTTTTAGGGATCTGGCAAATCGTCCCTTCAGCAAAACATCTTGCCATTTGAAATAGACGACACTCGTGCGTGTACACCTCTACCATCACATTAAAATTTATTTTTTTATAATAATTATAATATAGTAATCTTTATTTTAAACCGCAAGTCATATTTACTTTTTATTTAAGCTCTCAAACCTTGTGGCCCTCTGAACCCAAAACCCAGAACTATGTATATGCTTCAGTTATAAACAGGTTTATTTTACGTGGTTTATTAAATATAACTTGAAAAATATGTTGCAAATGAAAATTAATATACAGGCCTATCATAAATATCTTTTTAAGATATACAAATTATAATTATGGTTCCCCCACTTACCTTCTGGTATAATGTACCAATGCACTACGTCTGTGGTGAAGGGAATATTGTCAACCCTACACAGTAATCGAACTGTCGACATACTTTCCGCTATTACACTGCTAGTGTATGTAAATGTATGGCTTGTACCTAAAATAGCAATATTAACCAGTGATTAATTAAAAAAAAAATAGTGGTTATTGTTTCGTTAGTATTAAAGCGATTCTTAACTATGATTGGATATTATTGTCTTGACGATGCATACACTAACATCCCATCAGAATACGGATTTGGTTTAAGATTTGAGTAAGAATAGTGACAACATAACAAAAACATTTTGTGACTAGTCAAGGTTCTAGAAATTAATTAGCATTGGTATATAACTCGATAATGCAGAAATTAATTTAATTCCTATTCTGTAAGTCACACCTAGGAGAACGATATAAAAGGCGTTAAGCGTACATAATACCAATTAACACAAAAACTAAAGTATTAGTCACTTGAAGGGGAAAAACAATAGGCATATAAGTGTTCTAAAGGGAAAGATGAGTTTCTTGGGTGGTAAAGAATAAAGGACACTGAAAGACTCTAACCGAGCGAAGATTTCAACTAATATTATGGATAAATGACTGTATCATCTTCCAACGCCAACTAGACATTTTAGCATTTTATTAATATTTGAAACTGCAGCCGTGGTTATAAAAAATATCGGCATTAATAGTAACCTCTTGAAAATTAAGTAGTGTAATTTTATCAATGTGACATTTATTACTTACAATTACCATAATTGTTGTTCTATTATAGCTTCTAATATACATTGTGGGTATCTATACAATGACGTAATGGTTCTGTTATAAATAGCACCTGGGATATCATTAAAATGACGTAATTCTTCTATAGATTATCAAATGAAGTACTACTAACATGACCTCATTTCCCTATTATCACCTGCAACGATTCCCCAGTTGTGAACATGTTCACTGGTTTTCCTTCTCAGTTGTTAAAAACAAAGACACAATGAACGTTTTCATCAATTATTATCATGTCGATATCTGAGTTATATTTTTTTTTTCTTTTGAGAAATAACGTATTTGATAATTTGCGGTTTTATATTCAAATTACACAATCTAAGAAGCCAAGGTTTCCTCACACACTTACATTTTTGCCAACGATACCGAAAGTCATCACCTCATTAACACAATTGGTGTTATTGTTACTATGTTGCTCTTCGTTCAGTGAACAGCTGAACTAGCTAAATTCTCTAAGCTAATACTGCAAAATTTAAAGTTATGCCATAAATTTAAAAAAAAAGGGGGGGGGGCAATGAAATCAAATAGGTAATCAATTGCAAGTTGAAAAAACAATTAAATTTTCACTTAATTAAATTGTTTATTTTTTTCTAATGATAAATTGATATTATCACTGCTGAATTTTAAGGGTCTATGCATTGAACTATACAAGAAATATAGATAGAAAATAAATGCTATTAACAACATAACGGCAAACACAAGATGCAGAGATGAAGAAATATGGTTGGCAACATGATAAAAGTACACAACATAATGCTTTGAGCCTACAATATGTACACCTCCTATTATCGAATGAGATGCACATGATACTGATAACCTCGTAATGGATTTTTTGATTTGTGAGGATGGTAATACCTGTGACATAAAAACTCCGCGTAGCGTCATCTTCGCATGTCTAGACTTGTTTTCTGAAGTTTATGACAAGTTTTAGTCGATCCTACGTTTTTTAAAGAACGCACGATATCTTACCATTGATTGTTTTTGTAACATTGGTATCTGTTTTGTTAAAGTTGCCCATTCCTTCTACGCAGTTTTCTCGCATCTGCTGCACCATGACTTCTTGTGATATCACACCAGGTGACATACTCATCGAGACCATGTTGATACAGCGATCATCCAATAGAGGAATCACAGTTGTTCCAATCACCACCTCGTTACCTTTGGAAATCGTTTAGATTGGTATAAAGTTAGCCTGGGTTCCAGGCCCTAATTTTAGGTTACTCACTCTTTATTGCACTTAGTGCGCACCATACCTAATTTAATTGGCGTCCCATACTCGATTTCTTTTTTTCGAATTATTCCGTCTATAAATTAACTTTCTCGTTGGTGGCGCTGTCCAGAATGAGAAAAATAATAAAAAATAAGAGACTTGTGGCAAGTCTAGTATAAAGTCTTTGGTTTGGTTTGTTTCAGTTGAACAATTGGATTGGTTTGGACTCGATTTGAATTTATTTTATTTCTTCCATTTTGGAAACACAAACAAAACCCATTTACAAGAACAAAAAATGGAAAAACATTAAAAAAAAAACTGCAAATGAATATTGAAAACGAACTCAATCACAGATTACAACTCTCTTTGGCTGACTGAAAATTCTTCATACATTTTATCTTACCGTAATTATGATGTAAATCTTCCCATCTTCCTACTTTTCTTCAAATAATGTCTACTTTAATTTTGATGATGGAATGTTACTTTAAAAGCGACGTAGAAAATTAACGTTGAATAAAGTACAAATTAAGCTTCATAATTCTTGTCGGAATTGTTTATCTATGATACAAACTTGTCTGAAATACAAAAGTTAATTTTTTGCTTTGGCTTGTAGACGTGTAATCTCTGAACAATTTAAGAACATTTTTATCTGTACCAAATGAGTTCGTCACAATAAATGTTGTGAATGTTGTTATGTATGTTGAAAAAATATAAACTTTTCTCATAAGGTTTATCTCTCTGTAATATGACGTATATCCTTGTCAACAAAGTAATAACTCCTTTGAAATGATTAAATAATTATTATTTAATTAATTATTAATTTAAGCTTCCAATTAGACACTTAAACTAACAATCTTCAAACATTTAACTACAGAATTTAAGGGACTTTATAAATAACCATACGTATGTTAATTTACAAGGGAATTTGACGCTAATATCTTAAATATACAAGGTATCAGATATTAAATATGTCATGATATTTTTCAAGTTCTTAGCTCAATATATGCAGTTAAAAACAAGAAGATACACTCTATAGAGAAAGTGAAGATATTGCCGCGCATCCTCAGGTTCCCTTAAAAATTCTATGTAACAGTTTTACTTTATAATAACCTTTGGAATTTTAAACTTTATATA